CTAAACCCTAAACCGTTTTAGGGTTGGGGGTTTTTGTTTGGGGTCGGGCTCTGAGCGCGACGGGTCTAGGGTTTCGGTGCTCAATGTTGGGGCTTTGGGGTTTAGGTCTGCTAGGCGTTTGGGGTCGAAGCATGCACATTACCTTAAAGCCCAAGCCCAGCGTGGAGGCTCTATGTTCTAACCCCAACTTGCACAGGTTCAGGGTTAAATAACCCCCCCGCAAAGCCCAATTGAAACTTATCAAGGTCATTGTTGGGTAGCAGGGTCGTGAGGCTTAGGGATAGAGCACCAGCACCCTCATCAGTTTAGGGCCCTTAGTAGTTTGGAATCGAGTTTTGGAGTTTATTCTGCTAAAACTAGAACGTGCTGCAAGGGGTTATTGTTGCTACTCATTCCGACTCCTCTGTCGTTGACAGACCCTAAATGCCAAGTAGCATCCTTTCAGAAGGTACTGTAATGCAATCTATGGCAGGCTTTTCTCAGGCCGCACGGTAGTTTGCGGTTGTGTACCCGTAAATAAACCCTAAGCCCTAGACCCTGAGCCCCTAAACATGGTGCTGCTTAACAGAAAACAGCGCCATTACACTTAAAAAAAGCCCTAAGCCCTACACCCTAAACCCTAAGCCATAAACTTTCAACCGTAAGCCCTAAACCCAAAGCAAAATCCATAATCATCTCGGCTTCAGGAGCAGGTAGTGTTGTCCTGCATGTACCCCTGATTGGCATCTTACACCTTACTTGGAGGATCATGGAACAAAAGAAGTGAGGTTCCTTAAAGGAATCATGGGACTTAGTAAATAGGGTTATAAGTAATAAGTACCTGTATTGTCGTTACAAGTAATAGTAAGTATAGTTACCTTATTTATAGACCTAGCTACTAACTCCCGTGATCCTAAGTCCTAAGTAAAGCCGTAAGCCCAAAGCATAGACCCTAAACCATGCAAATTCCCGACCCGGTGAGCTACACCTAGCCCTTCCAACTGGGATGGTTCAGGGTTGGGGTTCAGGTTGTAGGGAGTCGAGGCCTTGAGTTTTCCCGGCTTTTCTCGAAGTCCCTGGTGTGGGGGCGAGGGTTGACAGGTTTCAGAGTTTAGGGGGCTGAGGATGCAATAGCAGGTCGGAGCCCTGAACCCTTAACTCTAAACTCCCAAAGCCTAAACTCAAAACTCCTATTTATCCACTTCAGTCTAACCCTGGTGCCCAAAAGCCTTTAACATGAACCTTGCGCTTTCGAGATGTCAATCCGTGCGCAGGAGGGGAATGTGATATGGAGCTCATCAAGGATTGCCATGGCCGAAGTAGTGCCACGGCCAGTTGAAGGTTTAGGGTTTAGGGTGTAGGCTCCTGGTGGTTTGCCTGTTGTGGTGTTGGTGAGCTTGTTCGTTCTGGTCGTCGGTCGTCCTGGTTGTGATGGTGGTCTTGGTGGTCGTCTTGGCTGTCGTGTTGGTCGTCGTGGTGCTCCAGCGGGAGAATATGGTTTGATGATTGAGGTGGATCGCGAGTTCGTGTTTGTGACGGGTCTGAAAGTTTCGGGGGGGGGGGGGGAAGGGGGGNNGGAGGCTTCGGATGACATTTATACTGTCACTGTTGCTATAGAGTATTCTTTTTTCTTCGTCTTCTCCTTATTAGTATCAGTCTTGAGGCATTTGGAGCTCTAGCCCTGGACTCTTCGGTTGAAGATTGGCAACGTCTTTTTGGAACACTCGAAGTTGCCCAGACCTTCCAATATCCTTTAATGAAGGAGTAGACCTTAAGATCATGTCGGGGATCCTACTACAGTTTAAAGTATATTCCGTAAAAAAGGGGGTTGTGGAAGGTCTGGGTGGGTGTCAGGACAACCTGCAAAGCTAGCCCGACATGCTAAAGCCCCAAGCCCCAAGCCAAATCATGGCTCGGCAATTTCGGGCCACATGTGTGCGCTTGAGGTCAAGAGATGTTGGGCCGTAAGGAATTTCTACCTACATAGGAACCAGCTTGATGCTGAAGTCTATACTGTATGATCGGGTTTCGTGCGTTGTAGAATTCCAGTGCGATGGTCGGTATGAGCCTAGGCCCTAACTTCCAAACCTGGGGCTGCTCTGTGGAGTGAAAGTCTCAATGCACTTCAATACAGGAAACTCCGAAACCGCACAGGCTCCAAAATGGCCAAGGGCTGGGTGAGTGCTTCTAAGGGTCTAGGCTGATAGGGTTTAGGGCTCGGGGGAGGCACTGCCGCGATAGTTCTCATGCGGAGGTCTTGTCGCAGATGTTTGAGACCATCATGGGCATTGTCATTGCCTTCAATATTGGAGTGATGGTCGTCGAAACGAACATGGATGCTTCTTGCCAACAAGGACAGCAAGACATCCGAAACTGCGCAGAAGGCAGCATCAAGTGCCAAACCTGTGAACCCCAAGCCCGGAAGCCCTTAAGCCAAGAACCCTTAACCCTAACTTAACCCTAAAGCCCTTAACCATCCAAACACTCAATCAAAAGCCTCTAGCCCCCAAGCTCATGCGACCTTGAACCTCCCGTCCGAACCCCTGGGCCCTGGAGGCAGTTTCAACGTGCAGTGGTTGCAAATCCTGAACATCGTCTTGCTTGTCGTCTACTCAGTGGAGTGTGCCGCACGTGCGTCCCCAGGTACGACAGTGGTATTCTTCTCCTGGTGTAGGTTACTATGAGGGGGGCTCATGTCACCCGCCGAGAAGATATGACCCCTTGGTTCACCAAGGTATGTGGAGCGAAGCATGTACATCTGGAACCGGTGGAATCAAATCGATCTGCTGACTGTCCTCCTCGGGTGGGGAGGCATGTTGCTGGCCTCCGCGGTGAATTTGAACGTTCTCAGGTGGGGCTTTCACAACAAAAGCTAGCGTGGAAGGATCTCTACTGTCTAGGGCTTTAAGTAAGGGCCCCCGATAAACCCTACAACCCCCCTGTTGGTGGAAACTCCCAGGCTTTTCCGCGTGGTGCGCCTGATGCGGGCAGCTAGGGTGGTGATCTCCGTCCCGGAGTTCTACATCCTGGTGAGTGGGCTCAGTCACTCCTTAAAAGCGATCGTGTTCGGATCTGTGATGCTCTTGGCCGTCATTCTGGTTTGGGCCGCAGCCTCAGCCAGACTGCAGACGCAGCCTTCAAAATAATCGAGGACCCTTCAGCGTCAAAAGGCTCATAGTTTTCCGAGCCATCAATCCCAAGCCCTAAACCCTAGACCCTAAACCTTAAACCTAAACCCGAAACCCCAAACCCTACACTCTAAACCCCTCGGCCGACAAGAGTATTGTTCTGCGAGCGAGACCCTGTCTTGAGAAACCTTCGCTGTCCAGCTCCTCGAGCACCACCGTATTTTCATGCGTTTTTCATACTCTGAGTGACCACTTTGGCCCAAGTGCCCTCGGCTGCTTGCAGCCCTGCAGCTACCCACCACCACCGTAGAGCATAGCATGGACTTAGGGTTTAGGGTTGAGGCCTACCATCCACTCCCAATTCCCAGAGCCGTCGCAGGCCTTATGCCTGAACTTCTAAGTCCTCACACTTACATCGAGACCGCAAAACAGGCGTCATTGACGTGGGAGGCAGGGGTAGGCATGGCGAATCATGTTTTGGATCGAAGCTTGAACAGATTGTCCCCGCTTCATAACGTCCTCCAAAGCCAAGAATCGGCCCTGCATCCATTCCTTCCCTCTGCCTGATTCCCGCACTTTCAGATACTATGCCTGCTATACCATGCTGCGCTATACTCTACTTCTCTTGTCTATACTAAACCCTAAACCCTAAACCCTAAACCCCCGAAGAGCCAAAAGGCCCTTAAAAAAAACCTAACAGCCAACTCAGGCCATTGTCTCCGTCGAGGTGCTGCATCCCTGGAATGTGCTGATTGAATATGACACCGCCGCCTGTCCTCGCTGAGCCTGGGCCGATTTAATTCAAGGTCCCTACGTCCCTAACGGGGTTTAAGTTAGGGACCCCCTTGCCCCTTTTGGGTAAAAATGCCACCGTCAACCCATTAGATGATTATTCCTATACTCCCCCCTACACTCCA